TTAAATAAATAAATAAATAAATAAATAAATAAATAAATAAATAAATAAATAAATAAATAAATAAATAAATAAATAAATAAATAAATAAATGTAGGTATTGAATTGCCAAATTAATGAGTCAGTTGACACAGATTAATCTATTTCAAAATAATGTGGAAAATAACTTGTAACAACAGTGACAGCAAAGCACCATTTTTGAAACTTGATGTTTGTCACAGGAGGGGAGCCACCTCTCCTATGAGAAGTTCCTTTGTATATGGAATGAATTAATTATTTTCCCCTCCATTAAAACTAACCTTTATTTGCCAAATTAATGAGTCAGTTGACACAGATTAATCTATTTCAAAATAATGTGGAAAATAACTTGTAACAACAGTGACAGCAAAGCACCATTTTTGAAACTTGATGTTTGTCACAGGAGGGGAGCCACCTCTCCTATGAGAAGTTCCTTTGTATATGGAATGAATTAATTATTTTCCCCTCCATTAAAACTAACCTTTATTTCATTGCATGATGGTCCTGAATAATTTTAAAAAATAAATTCCAGTTTTTCAGTCTGCAGCTTCCTTGTTTTTGGGGAAGGAGGGGGTTAATTCTTCATTAAAAAGGTCCAGATTTTCTTATGCCTGATCTGAAGAGAAATTACACAACCCTAGGTTTGATATTCTGACTTTAGTTATGTAATCATCCTATACAGTATCAGAATTCACTTTTGTTAGAGCCTTTATTTATTATTATTATTATTACCTCTTTGTTTTAAACAAAAATTGCATTGAGTTATGGATACAGGCATAATCTTTTACACACAAAGTTACAAGTCAGCTTTAGTTTGTTACTCTAAAGAAAATACACATGGACACAATCCCATTTGGGACCGCTGAGTGTAAGGGAGGCTTAATCTTCCATCCTATAGCCTTTTGTGTCTTCTTATATTCCCTACCTTTTCCTACATGGTGGATTATTGATACCAGTGTAGGAGTCCCAACTACCTCTGCCATTTTCTAATCCCTGCAAGGATAGTTCTCTTCATAGAAATTTGCATAATGCCTGAGCTGTAAATACTACATAGAGGATATGCTTATCAAGCAGGAAAACCTGAAACGTCTGTGGGCTGCTCATAATGTCCACCATCTTGTGGTTAAGTAGCCATAGGGATGTGCAGGGAAAAAAACCTTTCAGTTTTGAATCATTCTGGGCTCTTTTGTGGGGATGCCTCATTCATTTTTTGGTTCTTTCAGGGTAATCTCAAGATTAGACCACTGTAATGCGCTCTACGTGGGGCTGCCTTTGAGGCTGTTGCGGAAACTCCAGGTGGTGCAGAATGCAGCGGCCAGACTACTTAGTGGAGTGAAAAAATACCAACACATCTCACCCACTCTGGCCGCATTGCACTGGCTGCCCATCCGGTTCCGCATCAACTTCAAAGTGTTGATGCTTACATACAAAGCCTTAAACGGTTTAGGGCTTTGATACTTGGCAGAACACCTACTCCCACCAAGATCTACCCGTGTCACTCGTGCGAGCCAGGAGGTGAGGCTGAACGCCGATGGAGGCCCGGAAGGAAAAGACAAGAAATCGGGCCTTCTCGGCGGTGGCTCCTCGCCTCTGGAATAACCTACCTCCTGAGATTCGTGTGGCTCCCTCACTGGGTATCTTTAAAAATCAACTAAAAACATGGATGTTTC